ACCTGCGCGCGCCCGATGGGCACCGGCTCCTGGAAGACGGTCCAAAGCACCGCGGGCTCGCAGCCGGGAGTGGTCAGGGACCCGGAATAGCGGTAGTAGCGCGCCAGGCCGGCGGCGCCGGGCAGCACCGACGCCAGCGGGAAGGTGGACGCCAGCTCTACCGAGAGCCCTAGGCCGGGCGGCAGGGCAATTAGAACCCGGCTCTCGGGGCCTCGCCCCAGTCACGCCCCCCGCCCCGGTGGCCACCGGGGCTCTCACCGCGCCTAGACACGTTCTTCAGAACCGACACAATGGCTGAGAAGTTGGCGTTCTCTACGTCCTGCTCCTGGGGGGATAGGGCTCTGAGTGAGAGGGGCTCTGAGTAGAGCGACCCCAAAAAGGGAGGTGGAGCGGGGACTGGGGAGACTCTAAGTGGGGGGAGAGGAGACACCCAGGGGGATCTGGGGGTGCCGGGTCATGCGCCTTGACTGCAGGTCCACGACCCCACGTCCACAGAACTGTTGCAGTCCTGCACCCCACGAGCCCCCACAAACCCCATAGGCCCTCCTTGCCCCCGCCCCCATGGCTGTGTCTGGCCCCTCCCTCACTGCCAACAGCACGGCCAGCACCGCGAGCCCGTCGGGGTGACCCAGCGCCTCCTGCGTGTTCCGGTATCGCGTGTTCACGTGGACCATGTGCATCTGCGTAGGCACACGTGTCAGGAGTCACTCAGCTGTCCCACCGGCTCCCCGCACCTCCCCGGGCCAGCGCCCCCCTTCCCCCCGACTCCCACCTCCATGGAGCTGCGCAGCCCGGCCAGGCTGTGCTCCGAGCCTGCGCGCGCCGGCGCCCCCCAGTGGAAGTGCAGCTGCAGCGCGCGGTAGGCCGGCGGCGGCAGCCCGGCGCCGCGCATCTCCAGGCGGCGGCTCTGCGGGCCGCTGTCCAGGTTCAGGCGCACTGAGGGTGAGGGCGCACGTGACACCCCACGCTCTTCCCAGCACCACCAACTCGCCCGGGTGCCATGAGGGCCCAGGGGGCTGAGGTGGGGTGCCGGCAAAGTTCCCCGCTTCTGGGCAGTCTACCCCGTGTGGGCCCAGCCTCTCTGGAAGGACAGGCAGTTCCCATGCCCCCCTGCTGGTCAGCCGGCCAGTTCCGGAGCCTGCAGGGGAAACCCCTCCCCTTGCAGGACCGGAGAGAAGGCTGCCCTCCTGTTTGTGTGACTGTTGGTTGTGTGACTAGTTTGGGGTGTCCTGGTTCTTTGTGTGTGTGTGCGTGGGGGGGGGGTGTCTGGCTTCTGAGTGTGTCCTAACTCCTGCATCTCAGGGGCGGTCAGGCATCCCTGTGTGTAGGGGTCCTGACTCTCGTCTGTAGGGGTTTCCTGATGCCCATACTGGGTGTGTCTTGACCTTGGTATGTGCACAGTCCTGGGCCCTGTCTGTGGACATCTGGCTTCTTGTCGGTTGTCCTTTTGTGCAGCGGTTCCCAACCCATTTGTGGGGCTCCCTTATACTTGTCGGGGTTCCTGAGACCTGAGTGTGGTGGCCCTTCCTCACCCCTGAGTGTGTGTATGGGCAGTGAGTTCCCAACTTCTGTGTGGGATCCCTGGCCCTGTCTGAGGGCGGGGGTCCTGGCCCTGGGGTGCTGACCTGTATGACCATTATTTTCCAGGGTCCACGGGCCTGGAGGTGCAGAGTCATAGCCTTGAAAGATGAAGGGCCCAAGGGTGGGGTCCCGCTGGACCAGGTGAAGGTCGATGTTGATGGGGGACTGGTGTGGGCCCCCACAGGCAGGGGCCATCTCCTTCCAGTGAGTGGGGCCTAAGGGCACACAAGGTCTGTGGTCTGTAGGGGGGTGTCAGGGAGGCAGCCTGGGGGTGCATCCCTCCTGTACATATGCAGGGAATAGCCCAATCTCAGGACCGACCCCATGCCTGGACAGGTCACTACTGCTCCCAACCATGCCCAGATTCGACCTACCAGGATGTGCAACACCACCCCAGGGCAGACCGACACAGGGACACACAGTCACTCACAGGAGATGGAGGTGGGAGGCTCTCTGGCACAGGGTCATGTGCCCAAAGGACCGGACCCCCACCACACGCACACCACTCTAGACGCCTACACGGACTGACACCAACAGCTTGGCACACCCCCTGTGCCACAGACACAGCCAGACCCAGGACGACAGAGAAACTCGCAGAAGCCTCGGGAGCCCATACATCCTCCCACAAAGTTGTCCTCACCACATTCTGGGTCCTGGGAGTCGTAGCACCAGGCACCTGCGGGCAGTGCAGGGTACTGAGTTTAGACCGAGACCCCTGGGTCCCCTCCGTTTCCCCCCCAACCTCTGGATCCCAGGATCCGAGCGCAGGCCGTCAGGGGACGCCAGAGCCGCGGCAGGACCCCAGCTGGCAAGGCGGGCAGCGTGGAGGACGGGGGCAGGGGACCCACACTCACCCTCTGAGTGTGCTCGCGCGACCAGCCGCAGGGTGAGAACGGCGAGAGCGAAGCCGGATGCCCGCATGGTGGAGGCGGCGGCGGCAGGACCGGGCAGTGGCCGGGGGCCAGTGGGTGGCGGCGGCCGCGGCGAGGCGGCCGTAGTCTTGAGGGCGTGTGGGGTGGGCTAGGGGCGTGGTGATCCCAGGGCGTTGGCCTGGCCTCCGGAGGGGCCGAAGGGCGGCGCTGGCAGGACCCCCGCGGGGACGGCGGAGCTTGCGTCCTGCGGCCCGCGGCGAGCCAGCAGCGAGGGCGGGAATGTCTTGGAGCAACGCTGGGGTACATGCTGCTTAGTCAGTCCTCCAAAGGGTCCCACGCTCACCCCCA